CTCCTCATGATCTTGTACTTTATATTCATAATTAATTTAAAGGGAAATATTATGATATAACTATTATTATTTTGTGTTTCATAAATGTTAGGAAATGGTTGAAAATATTAAACAACACTTATGCACAATATAGTGGTATACTATTGGTACAACCTAGAATGTACCTACCTATATTATAACATAATATAATTTTTTTTAATATTATATATATTTATATGCACACTTTAATCAAATATGGTAACTATTCAGTCGACAGTCATTAAATAATGCACAAAAACTATTTTTAAATTGTTATTATTTTTAATATTTGAAAATTAAAAGAGAAAAAATGTTTTTCTAATATAATTGATAATTATCAGATTATTTAATATTTTTCATCAAACTGACAAACTACCGTGTTTTGTTTATATAATATAAAGTTAAACTTTTACTGCCTTACTGGCATTGGTAAAGTTGAATTTATGTACAATTATTAATTCATAAAATACCAATAATATTGCCTATGACGTAATAATTATTGTGAAACTATTATAATAATAAAATCCATAGATATATCATAATCATATTGATATTACCTATATATATCTAATTCAAACAGCTACATATGTATATAATATATATATATTATTTACACAAATATTAAATATGATTAATATTATAAATATTTATACGTGTTTGGTTGTACTTCGTAGACGACCTCGAAAACAACAAGAATCAAAATATAATGTATAGTATAGTACTAAATTATAATTTACCTATTTACCTTATTAATTAAGTACCTACCTATAACTAATCGCAATGATTCAGTGAATAAAATATAGGTATTCAAAATAAATTATAAATGTATCTATTACATTTTAAATAGGTATTACCTAATGTGGATTTATGAATAGTAAGTTAAAATTTCAATAAATATATATATATTATGTATACTTTATAAAGCAAAACGTCTCTCTTATTTTGGAAAAATTTAAGATTATTAATATATATATTGTATATAGATATAGATATAAGACATAAATCATATTACTGATATTATGTCTTGATCTTGAGGTTTACTTTTTTATATCAACAAGTAATTAACGATGGCTTATGATAGACAAATTAAAAAATAAAATGTCGTGTTTGTAAATGTTTAAAAGGGATGAAGCGAGATGAATTTCAACTCCTAAATTCGTACTTTGCATGCATATAGGCCCAAATAGCATTTGTGATTTATGGGTTGGGTGTGGCTGTGGCTGAAGATATACTATAATAATATTGTATAAGCTTAAAAAAAATTTTAGTAATGTTTGGGTGAGGGAGCTTACCTAAATCCATCTTATTTTCACTATTTTTTCATGTGAACATAAGCTATATGGTTAAAATTTTAAGTTTCTAGCACCACGGGAAGTGGATAAAAAAAACAGTTGCATTTTTTTCGTTACAAAAATTTTTTGACACCCAGAATTTAGGTAGTTAGATTTTGATTAATATTGTAATAGTCATGAGTAGGGCAGAGGACTTGTAGCTCTAAAAAAGCTCTAAATATGCAAGCACTTATGCACTAAAAAATCCCATAATATGCAATTAAAATATGCACTTAAAATTTTTTTTTATAAATAAATCCTAATCGAATAAAAGCCCGCATGGTGTACACACGTATCTGTGGTGGTGATGTCGTAGGTATAGTTTACGTTAAAATCGTTATCGCTTCTAAGAAAAATGTGTGCCCGAGCACAGTCAAAAACCATATTAAACGACAAAAATTAAAAATAAATAAATTTTTATCCAAACATTTTGACTGTATTGTTTGAAAAAAAAATGTCACTGTAGAAAAAATCGATTCAAGTAAAATATGTCTCAAAAAATATAAAATAGCGTATAAAAGTGTAAAATATGCCCTAAAAATCAAAAAAACGTAAAATATGCATTTATATGCACAATAAAATTTCAAAACTAGCTTTGTGGAAGCATGAAACGTATTTGTTTCGCACTCTGCTATTTTTGTGGCTGTGCAAAAAAAAAATGCAAATGCTACAAGTCCTCTGCCCTAGTCATGAGTTATGACTGTTATAAAATATTGGAATAGTCAGATACGTTATAATAATATATAATATAATACCTAGTAAGTAGTTAGTTATAAATAGACTATTAACTTATAGTATTTTTAGGATTTTTATACCCCATTTTTTATAATTTTATATTTATTATTAATAATAAATAATTTGTATTGACCTCGGTATTGACTTAAAGTAAATATTAGTAATACACCAACACGAATATTACAGACTTTATCTGTATTCAATATTTATATTAGGTATATAGTATTATAATATAATATAATTTACCTAATACCTATTCTAGATTTCACAATATATTTGTTATTATAGGTAGATACATTATTATCTAATTACTAACAGAGATAAGAGCTTTTTGAGGTAAATTATGGAACTGCACTGCAGTGGGCGATTGTAAACTCCACCGATTTACAGGTAGTCGATTTTAGGGTTGGATTTATAACATGTAAATTCCACCGATACATTTTTTTTACCTGAAAAAAAAATGTAAACTCCACCGATAAGTATTTTTGACCTGAAAACACGTAAACTCCACCGATGGTAAAATCCACAGATCAAAACTATATGTATAGTGTATACACATCAACTTTCGACTGACTTATCTTAAACTTCATCTTAATGACTTTCAAGCTGCATCTAAACATTATCAACCCAAATTTTAAAACCAAACAAATTTTTTAAAACCTAAATTTTCTTTAAGTAATTATTTTTTTTTCATTTATTTTAATTAACATTATTTTAACTACGTATATTTTCACTATTAATTATTATTACATCATTTATTTTAATATTGTGCAAAAAAAGATATAAGTATCTAAATATAATATATATAAATAATAAATCAATACATAAATTATGTAGGAACGTATTACCTATAACGTAATGTTAATAATTATAGATTTTTCTATTTTTTTCTATTTGATTTTTATATGATTTTTTTTTTAAATTATTGTTGATTAATAATTATATATTTTTCAATTTTCTATTATTGCTATTTGATTTTTATATGATTTTTTTTTAAATTATTGTATTTAAATACAATAAATATATTATAATAAAACTGCACCCACATAAATTATGTAACCTTAGTTAATCAGATTGGATTTGGATTACAATTTAAAAAAAAAAAAACATACCAGTGGAGTTTACATTTTTTTTCAGGTAAAAAAAATGTACCGGTGGAGTTTACATTTTTTTTTCAGGTAAAAAAAATTTACCGGTGGAGTTTACATGAAAAAAGGTCTAAAAAGGTCGCAATCGGTGGAGTTTACATGCGCCCACTGCAGTAGTGCACTAGTGCAGTCTACAACTATAGTGAACTTATGATAAGAGTTATAGTATATTATGTAGGTCGTAGGCCGTAGCCTGTAGGTATAGTACCTATTTAGAAGTATAGTCTATATTCTATAATATTGTACCTTTAGGCTATAGCCGTGGCCCAACCAGAATTTTTTTAAGGGGGTCCATACTAGTTAGAACATAGACATTTTAATTAGAGAAAAAAATCTGGTACCTACCTATAATCCATATTCCATATACATACTTACAACACATTTTTCATGAAAATATAAATCAATGTTTAATAATAATATTTTAGAATTAATGCAGCAGAAAATACATGCACTTAATACTTCTGTCTTATATATTAATATTTTTGTATGTATCTAATTACAAGAAAAAAGTAAAATGCCTAATTCATAATGTTTATAAAATCTTAACGACGTTTTGAATTAGCTAACCTATATTTATAATTTCTTCAGATAATATACTGACTCAAAATTAATATTTAGAGAAGCTATAGTCCATTGAGTCTTGATTCTGGTGTTGAGTTTCTTAAATTGTTTACCCATTTCAGAGTGGAAAATTATGTCTGAGCTTCAAATGATTAATGACGTAATCTAAAATTACTAATAAAAATTGAAATTTTCGTATGCCTAGAAAAAATTCAAAAATAATGTTTTGAAAATTGTTTGGTGTATAGAAAATACTAATATAAACATTCAGTGAAATTTCATGTACCTATCTACGTTTAGTTGTTTTTGAGTTTCACCTAAGTCGAAACTGTATAGAAAGCATGAACTTCTAAGAATTTCTTATTCATGATATTTTTTTTATAGAAATTAGGGTAGTAAATAGTAACACAATATAACTTATTATATAATGCGGAATTACTATGGACCTATAAACTAAGTTTATGGGAATTACGGTTGGTACACCGTATTGTAACGGTTATCAATATTATCAATAGTAAGTAGATATATATAGATAGTATCAACCACGGACTAAGATATACAGGACTGGACACGACAAGGTTGGAGGGTGTGGGGGGGTTGACTACGAAATGTTTTACAACAGGCAGTGTTCGGGGGGATATTTTCCTTTTAGCATTACTAGCGCCGTCCTAGTGGATACTTATGGAACTAGAACACATCATACAAATTTCTAGTTCCATAAGTATCCACTAAGACGGCGCTAGTAATGCTAAAAGGAAAATATCGCCCCGAACTCCGCCTGTTGTAAAACATTTCGTAACCACAATATTCATCTCGTGTCCAGTCCTGTATATCTTAGTCCGTGGTATCAACACGGACTAAGTCAGTGGTATCAATTGATCGTATACATCCTGATAATAAAGAATATTGAGGTTAATTCCACTATCACAGATTATGAATTTGGAAGATGTGCCCCCATCTCTGGGCATTGGGCATCATAGGGCATGGATATGCGTTATCCTAAATTGCATTTTTGAATTTTTCTCTTGTAAATTGCCGTATTTTTCTAATTACTTTTCTACTTAATATTTTCGTTTTTGAAAATTTTGTGACCTCATTATTGCACCATAATGTATAATAATATGCTGATTATTGTTTGTTTATTCTAATACAATTTCCGTTCGTTCCTAGTAAAAGTCTTTCAACTTTTCTCTTGTAATTATTTAAAATGTCACCAAGGGCAGCTAAAAGCAAAACACGCAAATCACCTAATCCATTGTTTGAAAAATGGATTTCAGAATGGTTAAAAGAAGCTACTGAAAAAGGTCTTGAAGTCCGTCATGGTTATCAACGCGTAAGTTGTATAGTAGTTTACTGAAATCCACACCTATATTAATTATATAATGATTTCTTTAATTGTTAAATACATGTTTTATATATATGTAGACATAATATATGAGTTGAGCACAAACTATTGGGGACTGTTAAATTGTAAAAATGGTAATACAATGTACAACTATTGTTCTACCTACCTATTTGTTTTTTAAATGAAAAAAAAAATTATGTAGCTGATATATTATTTTCCATACCATTACACAATATATATTGTAAATATATGTACTAATTATTATTTTGACAAGTTTTAATGACTTACAAATTATTATGATTTACAGGCATTGAGTTCATTACGAAAATGTCCATTGCCATTTAAAAGTGGAAAAGAATGTTTAATCCTAAAATTTTTTGGTCCAAAATTATGTGCCAGATTAGACAAGCAGCTTGAACTACATAATAAAACATCTTCAGGTTCAGGTAACTAAATAAATATATTTTATTATTAAATTATTTTGTTAACATAATGTATATTAATATTCACAGATTTAAATGATAAATTGCAGATGAAGGTATTATGGCTGACATTTCTAAAAATACAAAACTTGTCAATGTCTTACAACCCTCAACAAGTAATCAAAGTCAGAATTCAATAATATCTCTGACTCACGATGATTTGCCTGTAAGTATAAAATAAAAAAAGTCACTTTGCTGTACAGTAGGTTACAAGACGGTCACTGTATAATGGATGGTATTAATTTTGAATTCAATGATATAATATCATTGTATAACAAAAATGATTCTGAGTAGAGACGGTGTGTCAGTCTAGGTAAAAGAACATAAATATTTAAAAAAAATTGATTTATAGGTCTATAATAAATTCCAAATTAATCATATCACAATATCCATTAGGTACTTATAACACGTTATACATCAATTAAAAACCGTGATACTATCATAGATATATAGTAGTATAATTTAGAAGTTTCGAGTACACACAAATAATATTATACAATCACAACAAAATAACTAAAATAGTTATTTTAGGTTTTTTATTATGCAATTTTCCATGTGTCCATTTGAACTTAAAACGAATATAAAAATAAACTGTGGTTATGTATTTTTTAGATTTTTTGATAACAGAATTAACTACTTACGTGGAATCTAGTTTTAAATTTTCAATCCTTAGATATAAAAGTTGAACATTTTATAAATTTTTACCTACAAAATATTTACATAAGAATTGATACATAATAAACATTCAGTGAAATTTTCATGTATATACAGTTATTCGTTTTTGAATTACTACAAAATATGAAATTCACTACATGAGAAATAAAGTGAATACCCAATGTTGTAAAACTTTGTATTTCAAACGCTCATAAAAATTTAATTTGACTTTCTTATAGACATTTTTTTTTTGATAAAGGTAGAAAATCTTATAAGGAATCATGTATTACATTTAAAAATCTTAGATTTAAAAAGAAAAATTTTTACGAATTCTTATCTGAAAATAATTTGCTAATTTTCGTGATTTTTCCATATTTTGTTAATTTTTGAACTTTAAATTCTTATAAAAAAAAACTGTGACTTAGGATTTTTAATATTTTTTAAGTCATTGTAACAATATAGTATAGTCGGGGCCAAACGAATGTGCGGTTGGTGGCTCCGCCCACTAGGCGATATCACACTGAATAGTGAGTAACAGCTGCTGGCGGTATATTTGAAAATAAAGTAACCACGCTATTCATGTGTGAACGTTACCTAAAACTATGAGTTCTAATTAGTCGCCGGCAAAAGTAGGCGGAGCCACCAACCGCACATTCGTTTGGCCCCGACTCTAGGAGACTTGTATTAAGTTTTCAAGTACTCAACAAATAAAGTTTTATTGACGTTCATAGAAAAAATACTTATAAAATTGGAAACTGAAAATGCCCTTAAACAGCTCAAAATAAGTCAAAATATTTGGAAAATGTTATAGTGTATAGAAAATGCTAATATAAACATACAGTCAAAATTTTATGTACCTACGGTCATTTGTTTCTGAGTTGCACCCAAAAACCAAAATCGTTTTTTCGAAAACAGAATATGCGTACAAATTCTCGTTTTTTTCTTTAATTTTTCTTTTGTTTTTCACGGCGCTTTTGAAAACTACTGTGAATTTTCAATTTTGACCTCCCCAATGCACCAACGATATTCATTTTCCAATCGAACAAGATACTGAATTTGAAAATCGAAGCATTATTTTGACTACTTATCGTGTACACAGACACACAAAAAAAAAAAAAACACTTCTTTGTAAAATCAATACATTCATCGTTCCACTCAGAATCTAAAAGTCTTGTGTACAGACTACAGAATCCCACCATTAATGTAAACATAACTTCTTAGAACACTGTTGAATTATAAATATTATACAAATATTATAAAATAGCAAATTACTATAGTCAATATTTGTGTTGAGATTTATATTTTTATTACATTGATGGATGGATAAGAGTTAAATAGATCAAAAAATTATACATTGATAATGCTTTAATTGAATCTTTTTTAAATAGAGAAACAATCCTGCCATTACAGAGAAAGAAAAGATTGTTTTATGGCCAAATGAATTTACTGTCATGCTGCTTATTGATACAGGCGAATCAAGTAGTTTACGGTATGTCCCTTGTAATGTAATGTAACCTAACCCTTTTATTTTAGAAACAATATGTTTCATTTATTGGTACTTTTTTATAATAGAAAAACCAACGTGGACAAAGTAATTTCAGAATTGTCATCTTTAAATGTGACTTTCGAAATGAGACGATTGAGTGTCGGAGATTTTGCTTGGATTTGTCGTGACAGAAGTGGAAAAGAACTTATGTTACCATATATACTAGAACGAAAAAGATTAGATGATCTATCAGGTAGCATTCAAGATGGTCGTTTTCACGAGCAGAAAGTAAATGCATTTTTATGAAACAATAATATTGTAAATTAAATTTGTTAATCTTAATTTTTATAGTTTAGATTAAAACAATGTGGACTTGAAAACAAAATCTATCTAGTTGAGGATGAAAAAAAATATCATGGATTACCTATATCTCATTTACAACAAGCGTTGGCAAACACGGAGGTCATAGATGGATTTACAATTGTAAGAACAGAAAATCATTTGGAATCTATGAAATATATTGCCAACTTCTCTAATATACTTACAAATATGTTCAAGGTATAATCTTGTCATAATCTTGTTTATAAATCAAATCAATGTATATTTTATGTCTATAGATATTTTTTTTTAAAAATATTTACAGGACAAAATGCTTACAACGCATATTGATGAAGTAGATTCGGGTTATGGAAACTCCTCAAACGTAGTAAAACTCATATCTTTTAAAACTTTTTCGTCAGGTTCTGCAAAGAACAAGGTATGTTCGTATTGTACAAAATAGTTTTTATTTTTATTCGACTGTAATATAATATAAATTCATTTTATAGAACATGACTGTACGAGATATGCTGATTCGGCAATTACTTCAGATCCGAGGATTGTCTGTTCATAAAGCATTTGCAATTGTTGATCAATACCCTAGTCCAAAATTACTTGTAAACGCATTTAGAAGATCAGATAATCCATTATTATTGGCAAATATATCCTACGGTATACCAATCAAAACTATTGGGCCAGCCATCAGCAAGACATTGTTTCAAATATACTCTGCAAAATAATGATAACCGTGTGTAAATTATTATATAAATGTAAAGCCAAATAATGAATACTTGTTAGGTATTGTGAAAATGAATTATAGTAATAATGTGTTACGTTTATATTTAAAATATAGTATTATATTTATATTTTTGATGATGCTGTTTAATTGGTGTTTTCTTGAGTTTCATTGAGATGTATACACGTATTTTTTTTGTATCTTCACCCCTCCTTGTCTCTCTCACACTGTATATTATTATATATGATATATATATATATATATATTTACACCAAGTGTTTGATATGGAATGTCGCCAAACAGTGTGAAATATCTTCCCACACCATAATAATAAATTCTATTTTTAAGTCGTCCAGTTCGCCACTGCCATTCGTTCTGATTTTCTGTGTTTTTAACGAATTTTCTTTCCAGCTGTAGTCTAGCAAAATGTAATAAACACAAATATATTTACCTACCTCTCTGTTATTATTGTTTTTTTTCTCAAGATTAAATCGTGATTTATTACCACCATCGTCCATTGGTGTTATTATTGATTTTTCTACCTATAATATATTGTACAGTTCAACGTTTTGAATGTCCGGCGGCAATAACCAGAGATTTCGTCCGCCGTGGGTGAAAGATGGACTCGACCCGGTGCCGAAGGCTACTGTGCCGTGGAGGACCAAAGATAAGACTGCAGCTGCCGCTTCCACCGTCACCAATGACCAACCACCGATCGCGGTATAAAATTTTAAATTTAAATTCATATTTTTGCGATGCGTTTCATTTGATTGGTGTACTTTAAAAAAAAAATTCGCGTCCTCCGCATTCTTGCGTCTCGCGAATCGTCAAATGTTTTTCGCAGACACAATCTTCTATGATTGTTTATTATTTTAATATAAATAAATTTATTATCCTATCTTATGTCGACAGGCCGCATCCGACGAAGCGAAACATTTTAAATTGAGAAAAGTTGGACCGTCAGATGGCAGAAAAGTGACCGAAATAAAAATCGTGCCCAAAGTAAGAATACAATTTATTTTAACATATTTACATACCTACCTAAAATACCCCATTGTACTTGTAATGTAGCTCAGTAGCTGGTAGAGGTAGGTATAGGCAATATTGTCAAGTTATTATAGTTAAGTCTAAACGATTCTGAATTTCGATTTCAACTAAAATGCATTTCGCTATTTCGGCATTGGCAACGTAATATATTACATATTTATATAGTGCGGTATGGAAAGGTGTTACCGCGCTTAATGCATAACGCATTTAAAATGCACTTAAAAAAAATAAAGTCACTAGGACGTTATTTATATACAACTTAACAGGCAAGCGTACCTACGGCCCACGTGAAAAAACACTATAATTAATTAATATGGTATACACCGAAGCGGCTTATACCTACATACGAATGAAGGGAGGAAACCGATTGGTGATAAAATTATAATATACACAAATTAAAGAAGTAGGTATGCATTAATAGAAAAAAATGAACAAAATAGAACAAAATAATTATTCAATTTTAAATTTGATAAAGTTTGTCAAAATTCCATCTTTAAATGCTTATAAAAAAAAATTGAGCCTATGTATTTTTAATATTTTTCAACTGCTATTGTAACAATAGATCAGAAAACTTGTATTAAATTTTACATTTTTTGACAAAACAAATAAAACTTTATTGATATTCAAAGAAAAAAAACGAAAAAAATTTAAATATGAAATTGTTCTTAAACAGCTCAAAACAAGTCAAAATATTTTGAAAATTTTATCACGTATATTATTTCGACTACTTATCGTGTACACAGACACAAAAAAAAAAAAATAATAAAAAAAACACTTCATTGTAAAATCAATACATTTATCGTTCCACTCAGAATCTAAAAAAGTTTACTGGAAAGTAACATACATTTTTTATGAGCGTTTGAATCTAAAATGTGTACAACATTGAATTTTCAATTTTTATCAGTAAATTAATGTAAATTGATATTTTGTTGTAATTTAAAAACGAATAATCCTAAATACTTGAAATTTTTATCAAATTTTAAAATTAAAATTTCCTTAAATGGTAAAATGTTAAAACAATTTTGATTCTTTTTGAGCTATTTATAACTATGAGAAATTTTTCAAATATTTTTATTATTTTTCAGTTAGCAATTCATAAAAGATTTTCTTTTCATAGCTAAGGCCTAAGATTAAAAATGTTAATAAAAGATTTCACATAAGTTTTTCTACCTATAAAAAAACGTATACTTAAACTTTAATTTTTTATGAGTGTTCGAACTTATTATTGTTACGATATTCGATATTCAGTGGTAAATCGAATTCCTATTTTTTAGATTTTGTTGTATTTCCAAAATGAATAACCGTAGACTCTTGAAGTGTTCACCAAATATTTATATTAGCATTTTAAATACATCGTAAATTCTTCAAACAATTTCGACTCTTTACAGACTATTTATAGCCATGAGAAAATTTTTCAAATTTAATTCAAATATAATACATCCATTACAACGATATTCTCAACAACTATTGTACAGCAAAGCGGTATTTACTTGAACAAATTTTTTTTATCCATTTATACTTCCAGATTACTATTTTTATCACTTAAATAATATAATATACCTTATGTATTTATCAGGTATTTATTTAAATATTAGTGTCCTTATGTATTCATGGGGCCTTTAAAAATGGTTATAGTAATTATAAAACCGAAGTCTGTTATTTTGGGGTGTGGGGTGTAGCCCCCGCGGGTCTGTGTTCTCTACATAATTTTAGCACCCCCAGTATTTGGTCTCTAGTTCTGCCTATACAGCGTATATGTAATTTCGTGTAGACATAATACAATAATTGAGGAATATAATATTATGAATGCATGATATTATAATATTATGTCATCCTCGCAATTATATGCATGGTTTGTTAAGAGGATAATAATTCTTAGCTTAATAATTATTTTCTCATTTAGAATCAAGCTCAATAACATGGATTAAACGCATTCATGTAAAAACATTTTTTTTATGATTTTTGATTAATCTAAATTCTCGAAGGTAAATCATCTATTATGCAATTTACAAACAATAATAATTTTGAAGGTTTGACATATCGGTGTTATATTTTTTGATTATTTAACTTTATATTCATTTTTTTTTTTTTTGGAACATTTAAATGAATACTAAATTGTTTTTAGACAAGATATTTTAGACAAATTGATATATCATACTCTCGAATATATTATTCTCTATAATTTTTTAATGGGTGATGTTACTCAAGATAACCAAAATACATAAAAAAAAATGATGTCTATGTTTCGTGAGTGGCAGAGAAAAATAATCAGTGTTCTTATCTTCTCTTAATACAATTGTATGGACCATGGGTTACAAGTAGAGTAAATACTAAATTCTTTCTATTTTGGTTTTAAAATATTATTTTTAGAGTTTCAGTTTTACAAGACGATTCATCTGGATGTAATTACTGTAGATGTTTCAGTTGCATTGAATAATTTTCTGGTTTTTACGAATGTAACATTTTAATTAAAGTAAATAATTAGTTTTAATTAAGGTAATAGGAAGAATAGGTAAATAGATTAATACATTCCTCTATCAGATAAGTAATTGTAGTTATGAGATAATAATTACCACTAAAACTGTTTTTCTATCCGTTGTTTGTCTCACGAATACGATTACATAGGTATAATATGTTTATAAAATATTAATTTTAAATCGGTATGACATTGCTTTGAGGGAGAGTCTTGAGGTTACCTAGTAAAAATCTTGTAGGCATATGGCATATCTTTTAAAACGTTTTAGTATATAAGATATTTAGGTACCTACTACGTTACTACTTATTGGTAGGTATAGACTGCAGAGTGCAGATTTACACTGATGCTCGACCACAAGCGAATAAAAATAATTAATCGTAATAATATAATTATATTAAACAAGTATGCACTTTTGTTTTCACATGTTCAGATCGATTACCAAGGCCCATTGCAGATCAACAGCAGAGTCGTGCCGGTGGCTGTCGCGCAAGTTCCGGAAAAGGTGAAAAAAAAGACATCCGTGACTACCACCATGGCATCGCCATCGTCAAAACAACTTCCTACCAAGGTAGTCCAGATTCCCGTGACTTCAGCACCAGCACCACCTTCACCGCCGACCAAGGTGGTCCACGTTCCTCTGACTTCCGCACCGGTCCCTGCACCACCACCACCGCCTCCAAAGTCACCGTCTGCACCAGCACCGCCTCCACCGCCACCGCCTCCTAAAATGCCATCTCGGGCACCAGGGCCACCACCACCTCCACCACCTCCGTTGTCAGCAACGGCGAGTTCCAACAGCAGTTTACCACCCATATGTAAGGAATATTCACGACTTTGTCGATGTTTAACGCTTCGCAGGCCCTTTAATCTATATACCTTACGTTTATACATACTATTGGTACCTACTTATAGATTTTTAGTACCCAGGTATGTACAGAATATAGATGGGTACGCTCTTTTTGAATTTACAATGATAATATCAAGACGTAAAAAATTATAAATTTAATAATTCTAAGAGGTAAATAATCCACCAGAGAGGAATATAAGGTATGTGATTTACCTAACTTACTCGCGGTCGTTCGCACGTGTTTGTTTTATTATTACATAATATATAATATACATATACAAGATGAAATTAGCTAAAACTGATAATACATTTATTTAAATATATGACTAAAAATTTAGGGGAATATAATAAGTTTCTGCTCGAAAGTAACAGCTTAAAATGACATACGTTAATTAAAAAAAATGAGATGTGCAAGCTTCTACACGTTGGAAAAATAATCGTCTTCTAAATCATCACAAAATTTTCTATACCGATCGAATGAAAATAAAATAATATGGGTGATAATTTATAGGTGCAATAATTGTGTTTGTTCCAATCACTGTGTTGTGCTTAAAGTTGATTGATAAGGTGTAAACCCTCAACATACTTATTAGTTATTAATATAATAATGTAATACTATAATATTCATATTATAGTTACCTAGATATTAGTTGATTCAATGTGGATTCAATATTCAATAAAATATGATATACCTTGTATCTTTAGTTGATTTAAACAATTACACGCCACCTGATCGCGTTAATTAGGGGATCATAATTATTTATGTTTCACACATGTTTATATGTCTTATGGCTGGGGGTTATTCTATAATTTGTGTGATACGGAGAGCTTTACCTTGACGTCATCGTGGTGAGGGTGGGAGCCCAAAATATTATTGTATTTTTCTGACCGATTCACCGATTACACGTTACAGTTGTCATGACAACCAAACAATAACAGAGATGAAATGAATGTATTATGAAGTTCTTAGGTTACCCTTAGCAACCGATGATTATTATAATTATATTACCATAGCAACCTCATTATACTCTGTTAGATTCTGAGTGTATAGCGATGAATGTATTAAATTTACAAGACATACATGTACGATGTACCTACCGAGTACTGATGTATCCACATTCTACATACAGTGTGGATACTCCTTGGTTTTATACAGAACTTGAGCCAAACTCAATAAATTATCACTGTAGGTTTATTTTATTGCTCTACCTATTTGTTAAAATAATAAAAAAAATTATAATTTATTGACTATATAAATCAAATAAATGTCCATTTTTATGAACTATCCTTAGAGTTACAATTTGCTTTTTGATCAGCTTAATTACGGTGGTGAATCTGTGTTGTAAAAAATACTTTTAAAATTCATCCAACATATTTAAGATCAAATACAAATACTTGGCATGTATTTAAAGTACTTTTGGCAAGTACTCTATTAATTTCACTTATTTAATTGTACATTAGGTAATAAAATTAATTTCATAATAAGTAGTTGCTTCCCTTAATCCTAGTGACAAAAACCGCTACAACATTACATGCTCTCTAAAAAACCTTCTTCGCGCTCACAATACAGAAACCAATTCAAACATCTCTATTTGGAAAGCTACTAAAATAATTTCAAACCAAAAAAATACAATACCACTTACCTACCTATTTGATATCCCGATTGATCATTCTCCATGACCAACTAAAAAATCAAACCTATTAGCTCTCATCTAGAAAACAATTTCACTCCTCACTCCAACATAAATAACATCGACCACACTTCCTACATTGAACAATCCCTAACTAACTGTCTTCCGATGTTCTTACCGACAAAACATACCTCTTCCAGAAAAATTCAATTCATCATAAAGAAATTACCAAACAAAAAATCACTAGGTGACCTTATAACTAATCAAATTATAAAACACTTGTCTAAGAAAACCTTTCTACTTTTAACCTTAATTTTTAACTCTAGCCTTCGTCTCTTCCACATCCCCTACTTATAGAAATATTACAATTTGAATCCCAAAACCCGACAAACCGTCACACCTTCTACCCTCTTCTTATCGTTCATTTAGTATTTTCCATCTTTCTTAAAAAGTCTAGAAAAAATATTACTGATGAGAATCAATCCTATACTATCAAGCCATAACATAATTCCTAACACTCAAATCGGATTTGAGAACAAACACTCGTCACTCCATCAAGTCCACAGAATAATCGGTATTATAACATTATCTCAATCATCGCTTGAAAATAATCTCTACTCCACAGGTGTTTTCCTCGACGTCGGCCGCCTGGCTGCCTGGCGTTTGACCGCGTCTGGCACGAATTTCTCCTCCACAAAATTTGGTTTCTTCTGGCCCCCATATTTCTATTTTCTAATAATCAAATCTATCCTTTGTTGTTCGTTGTGAGAACGAACTTTCTCAAATCCACTTTCCTAATACAGGAGTTCCTCAGGGTAGTACTTTAGCTCCAACACTTTTCAACATATTTACATTCGATATTCCACACTACGAAAACACCACTCTTGCTACCTTCCCTGACGATACAGCCATTTTTTTTTTTTACAAATGTCGACCTAACCAGGGCCTCCGACGCACTCCAAAATCACTTACTCAACCTGTGGAGAATTAAAACAAATCCTAAAAAATAAGCACACATAACTTTCTCCCTACGTCCAACTTTTTCATCTTGCGACTCCTTTGTGTGTTAACAATATTTTTACGGCTCCCAAATTATGATGAAAAAATTGAAACAATACGGATAAAATGTTATGGCGAATATGGGTGATAATAACGGTAACTTTAGATTTAGATATAAAACTCTAAATAGTCAACTAATGTGTTTCATTATCGTTTCCATAATCGCTTTAATTATTATAAATAATATAAAAATAGTTATATTATTTGTTTGTAAATATATAAATATATTATTTTTATGAACTATAAAATTAAAGCATTTTCATTCTCCTAAAAGGCGACGACAGACACCCACAAAAAAAAAATACACATCATTGTAAAACCAGTAAATTCGTCTCTCCGCTCAGAATTTTAAACTAAAATTATATTATATAAATATATATAAGCTAGCCTATTAAGTATTAACTATAAATACATATAGTTGAGAAAAATACGTAGTTATTTTACATATCAATGAATTTATTATAAAGTTAAGTACCTAAATATATAATTTTATCATAATAGGTATATAGGTACTCACAATTTTGTGAGCATAGTAGTTTAGAATATATTATTTACCTACTTAAAATTGTAATACAAAGATCTTTGACCTAATGATATTGATTATGTTATAATAATTAATACATATTTATTTCTTATTTTTGACTTTCATTGTTTTGCTTAAACTAGGTACTTATGATTTATGAGTAGTATTTTGGCCTTTAATGTACCTAAATACTAAATAAACACTATAAAGTATAAACTAATAAATTTAATTAAATAAGTTAAAACCAATAGGGCGTATGATTACAATGAAGACAATATTGTAGGTAGGTAGGTATCTAACACATTTTGAAAATGTTTTTTCAAATTTATAGTTGCTTCAAAATATGGAATGTTATCATTTGTTTTCTTATTCAAAATATTTAATATGCATTACAAGTTACAAGGCAATAAAAATTAAATATTTTGATTATTTACATTGTGTGGAAAATTAAATGCACCTACTAATAATTTTATAACAATAATTTCGAAATTTTTTATTAGTTTTAGTATGGTGAATGATACTGCATTGTATTGGAATAAGATCTAGGTCGTACATAATAAAGGTTCCATATTATAAACATCTCTAAATAATAATTGGCTTTTATCCAAAAAAGTCATAAAAATGTAAATCTTACGAATTAGTACTTTTTGAAACTATGTATTATTAACTAAGTTCTCAAACGAATTATTTATTTATAGTACCCAATTAAATTTTTTTTGTAAATACTATTTGGTTTCAGTGATTATATTCTCTATTGCAGAATACATTAGTTTGAACTATAATACATAGTATAATATAATTATATATTAGCTTATATTGATATTAAAATGTAAAAGCTATTACCTATATAGAACTAAATATAATTTGCATAAGAGAGTTCAACTTTATTTAATGAGCTTATTAAAATTATTTTGTTATTACCAAACACTTTTTGCTTAAAGACAATTACCTGTTGTGTACCATGATGATTACGGCAAAAAATATTATTTTCAAAAAACAAAATGGCAAAATATTTCACTGGCTTATTATCACTGTATACTGTATAGTGATGTACACACTGAAGGTCGAAAATGTTAATATACAGACATACAGTCATATACTATATAGGTACCTGTAGGCTCGAGTGTATAACGTAATGTCGAACGATGACTATAATGTAACGTAAATATAGTGTTGGAAATGTTCCAATCGAAAAGTTTAATTAGAATTTAGTTAGTATATAAATCCGATAAGAATGATTAACTAATAAACCGTTGTTTGCTACCTATATATTATTATATTAGTCACTTCGGTTTTGGTCACGCGTGTGCGTTTTATTTGACGACAGCTATTATTGTGAGCGTGCCATATAAATATTACAAGTAGACCTCTTACCTGCATAGGACAGTTTTGGAATAATTATTGTGTATTATATAGTGATCGAATAATTTCATTTGTCAGCTAACAAACCACCCACGCCGGAAAAAATGAAGAAGTTGGATTCGTTGCGAAGTCGACCGAGGAGACGTCCGGACTGGTCGGACATGATGAAAGAAGTCGAAAGCGGAAGGAAGCTGAAACACGTCGAGTGCAACGATCGAAGTGCTCCGGTCATACCCAGTAACAAGTCCAAGGGTCAGGTAAGCGTTTAATCGGAGAGGTTTTTTTGTTTTGAAATTTCACGTTTGTGGTCTGTAATCGAAGAGGTAGTCGTTTTCTCAAAACCGTACATACTTATATACTGATGTTATAAACTGTTAGGTTTGGTTTTAAAATTGAACTGGAAATCAAAAATATTTGGACTAAAAAAATAAATACCTAATTCGATTTTAATAGAGTTTTAATTCTTATATTTTATACAAATTACAATATTATAATTAACGCATATTGCCTGTAGGCACATATTATGATTATTCAGCATAACCTATTTAATCTAACATGCGTATAAGCCACATTAAACATAGGTATTATGATTTTCAACCAAATAATACCGTTTGTTATTTTATATTAGGAAATAATTAATTTGATTTTCAAATAACATAAAGTCAATTATTATTATTATTATGAAATATATTTGAACCTTTTGAATTTTGTACAACTTCTGTTCAGATTCTACATGAAATTTAAAGTTCAGTTCGGTTCGGTCTCAAAACGCATGTGATTCGTAACATCGCTATAAATCACTATTGTTAAAATTTAATATTGACATTTGACAGTCTATACAGTATACACGTATGTGGTATGTATTCATGACGTAGACTTGGCGAATAATGATATTTGTGCACGATAATCGCATTGTGACTGTTTAAACAGTTTTTGTACGAATCCGAAACGAAAGCAGAAGAAACTGATCACCATCAGCTGCTGAAAGACATCCAGCACGGCGTCAAACTCCGTAAAGTAAAGACGAACGACAAGAGCAAACCGTATATAGAAGGTATAATAATGTATATAATATTATAATTTATAACATAATATATAATATATACATAAATGTATGGTGATAGAGGGCCGCTATAACCCCATGTGCGTTGAGGTGTTTTGTTTTTATGTGGGAATAATAATAGATTAGTGTAGGTACTTACCTATATCGTGGCGTAACTTATAAGTTATAGGTCTCATAGAGATAGGACAGGAAGTATTATGAATCCCGAGAAACTTGTCGAAATTTACAATATTTTACACATCGACATTAAAATAACACCTACCCTGATTTTGATTAAAAAAAAAAAAAACTAAAATCCAATTACATAAATACAAAAAATAATATCGAAAAATCTACAGTAGGTACCTATTATTGACTGTCGAACAACACAAATTATAGGGGGATAAAAAAAAGTAATAATCATATTGGAAATGTTTTTTTTTATATATATAATAGACTAATGAATAATTTATTTATACGACACCAAGAGTATGTGTTTACCTTTAGATTTTTATATCACGTCTGCAGTGATCACATAGTGTTGAATTATTTAGACTTTATATATTTATATATTTTAGACTTAATATTTTGATCAAACATTTTTCAAATAACATTTATTATCTAATTCCAGTAATTTACTAATTTATTATATACTATTGTCTATAAGATTTTAATAGATTTTTACAATACAAATATAGGTAATAATGTAATATACATATGAGCATAAAAATACTGTAATCTATAAATACTACAGAGTGAAAAAGTAAAGCAATTAATTTTTTATTAAAATGATTAATAAAGTAAACGCTCTAAACTAAACTTATATATAATATTGATTAAAATTATGTAAAATATATCTAGTATCACTGTATGTATTTTGAATTAGGTCTTAGGAAGTTTAGAAGACAAGAAACAATTGATGAAAAAATACAAAAGTCCGTGTCGATGGCTGACGTCGTGGCCGCCGCTGCAGAGCCTGATGAACTCGATGACATTGATAAAGTCTGCACATTATAACATAGTCTAAGATTTTTGTAATTTACTTAACTTACATACTGGACCGATTATCGTTTTAGGTGCGAGACGATTTGCAGTCAGCCAAACAAATGCTCGCATTGGAACTGCGAAGCAAAGAGGCATTGGAACGGGAAAATAAACGACTTTTGGCCAGAGTTACAAATCTACAAGAAGAACTTAAAGACAAACCGCAAGGCACCTCTGGACCGATGCGATCAGACACGGACCAACAGGTGCATAATTAATCAATCTATTTAATATTTTTACTTATGACACTCATTATTTTAATACCTAGCTATAGGTATTAACATTATTGAAATTATTTTTTTTTTACATAATTTTAAGTGGCTTTAAAACAACATTTTTCTTATTTTACTTTTTTTCTATCGTATTCCCTTTTCATTGACAACATGAATTTTTAATTACTTATTCCAAAGCAGAATATTTCTCCGAGTACTTCTATATATCAAAATCGAATTTTGGACGACTAGTTGATGAGCTATAATAGTATTTAAAGTTAAAATGAGTGGATTGTTGTGGTTCCGAGGGTACTCCACTCACTTAAATTTTAAATAGGTACTTTAAACTATTAATCTACTTGCCTGAAATTTGATTTTTATAAATCGAAATACAATGAATAATATCTGTTTCGGAACATGAAATTAAAAATGCATGTTGTCATTCAAAAGAGTGAAAACAACTTAAAAAAATAGAAGGAAATGTAATTTATTGTTTTCAGAAATGTTGTGATTCAGTGTATTTATCCTACTCGACATTATGATAAATAATTATTTTAAAATACTTTAGTGTTTTCTGAAAGAATGAGCGTCTTACGTAAAATTGATCACCCCATATCATGGCGATTAATTTAATGTACTTTTGCTATAGGTACATTAATATATTGTATATGTCTTGTTTATGTATAGCTCATCAATAAACTAAAAGCGGAGGCGTTAGAAGCCGATCACATCGTGAAAGACATGGAACAGAAGTATCACGTGACCGCCGAAGAACTGGACAGCACCAGACGAAAACTCGAAAGCGCCTGGCTCAGAAATCAAAAACTAGAGCTGGAGCTGAAAGCCGCGCTGTCCAGCCGAGTGGTTGCCCAACAGCCGGTCCCTCGACAAATGTCCATGAAGAAGTTGTCCATGATGCCATCCATCGAACATCTATCCGAGGAAGAGGAGGAAGATGAGGATGAAGACGACGACGACAGTTCAGACGATGGTTCTAGCGACGCGTCACAGGAGATCGACGAGGCCAGGAGGACGGCCAGAGAGCTGAAACTGTTAGAAGTTAAACTAAAAGCTGTCCGTGACAAGCAGAATTCCGCGCTCAAGGACCGCCGGATGTATAAACAGGAGTTGGCCAAGAGGCAGAAAGAGCTCAAGTCCGAGAAGAAAAAGTACAAAATGTTGCAGAAGGAAGTTGACAAGATGGCGAAACTCATGAGGGACACTGACGAGGAAGAAGAAGACGAAGAAGAACTTGAGGAAGAGGAAGAGGAAGAAGTAAGTGCACCGGACGTGCTAAATTGTACATAAATAACTATAACCTGGGATGACCATATTATAGATAGAGATGGGTCGTCATTGGTTTATGATAATTACATGTTTAATTCGACCAAGGATAATTTAACTTTAGGTATACAAAAATTATTATTAGGTATTATAGATAATCAAAAAAGTTCAAAAAAGTATAGTATACATATATTATATATGCTTTTCGTAAACTTATTTATCCAATACTAAACTTAAAGTTATCATAATTTATTCATCAATAGCATTATTTCGTCAATACTTATAAAAATACCTACTGAGATAACTGATAACGAAAAGTAATCTAGTAATAACGTAAGGTTTTTGATTATTATCATTAAAACATAAACCAATAGTTTAAATAACTAAATAATGTAAATAAGAATAAAAAAAGCTAGGTATATTAGCTACTGAAAATATTTTTTCATTATTGTTCAATAACATTTTCTTTTTAAATGTATTTTTGAATTTTTCGTTCATATTTTTATGCGTACATAGATTGAAGTGCGCTTTCATAAAAAAATGTTTATTTAGCGAATTCAATTCACTGCAGCTTACGGGTATTATTTATACTTATTTCATAATAATGCTTGTACAATTGGGACAAAAAATACTAACAAAATAATAATTGTATATGAATTTCAATGCTTTAAAACGGGTTCCAAAAACAAACGAAAATTCAGCAGCTATATAGAATGTATCCTCCATTGCTCCATAATATACAGGCACAAATAAATGAAAATATATGATTTGAAATTCATGGTTTGGGTGGTAAATTAGTGATTATTGCGGGGCAAGATTTTGTACTTAAAACGCGTCGTTCCCGTTAATCTCAATTATAGGTATTATTATTATTTGCTATATTATTATCGAATATAATATTATAGTATTTAGACATTATGAATATACGAGTAAGAGATGTCATTTAAAATAAGTATTTTGAATTGATACATGTTTTAGTTTTAGTTATCAACTACCCATCATATTATGTCTAAATTATGTCTTAATTTATTTCTGTATAATAATAATATTAATACCTATGGGATATGTTTTCAGGAAAGCGAATCTTCCGAGAGCGAAGAGAGCGATGACGAACCACAGAGTGAGGGTGAAGCCCCCGCGTCAGCCACGCCGGAACAGAAGAAGGACAACCTTTGCCGCCGGTCCAAGTACTACGAGGGGCGGTTGACATCGCTAAAAAAAGGAAATTACTTGCTCAAGGCCAACGTGGAACGACTGCAGGACGACGTCAACAAACAAAAAGAGATGTCGCTGGTGTTGCAAGAAGACTTGAATTCGGTGTTAGCTGAACTCGGATAAAAAAAAAAAACACTGTGCCACTTACCATTGCTGTCGACACACGAGTATAATAATAATAATAATAATAATAAAATAAATTATTATAAAATTATTATTATTATTGACATCGATTTCGTGTCGTTAAAATAATATAATATTAAAACAATAATTTAACCATCGCATTAACGGAGCGTTATAATATATTGTTATTATTATAATATTATGGCGTAAAACCTATATAATGTGGTTTTATACCGCCGTTGATATGAATTCACTACTTAATAATTATTGTGATGTTTTAACGAAATAAATATTATTTATTATGATTAGTGTGAGTTTTCAGCTGCGATGCACAGTGCCGGATTAAGACCGATCATAGCCCTAGGCAAACATTTTTTTCTATAACCCATTGTAAAAAAAACAAAAAACAAAAAAACAAAATTATATTATATAATAATTATATTACTGATAAGTCATAGTATTATGGTTAATGTTACCAAGTTCCAAAAAGTTGAAAAATAGAATAATATACAATCAGTGGCGTTTACCTAATGCAATTGCTTAGCCCTAGAAATTTTTCAGGGGGGTGGGTACTCCTTGGCCCCGGTAAAGATAATAAATAATATATTAAGAATAACAACCATCGGCCAAAATAGATTGGAATCACTAATGCTTCTATCTTGGGAAAAAGATATTTCACCTTATTTAGAAGAAGCATTAGATAGAATGGGTAAATCTTCTCAACTGCTAGAAAAAGCTCTTTTATTTAAATAAATAAATAATTTTATATTTATGTGATAGTGTGACACTGTAAATAAAAAATGATATTAGTATATAACAATATACCTATATTATTTTTTATGTATTGCGTTTTAATTATAATTAATGCATTATGTAATCTATTTTCTGATAATACACTTACGTATAAGCAAGGCTTATGTTTACTGCATAAAAGACTGCTTCAAAAGTCATCAGATTTAATTGATAGGTATTTTAGGTTCTGAGTGAAACGATGAATGTATTGATTTTACAATGACGTGTGTTTTTTTTTTGTGTCTGTCATCACGTTTTGGGACACTAAAAGAGATTGGGTTTTCTTCAACAGTAGCTTTTCTGATAGGAAAGTGAATCTAGTTGGTACTTTGGGGGGTCAAAAGTAAAAATTTCCCAGTAGTTTTCACAAGCGCCGGGAAATACAACATAAAAATTAAGGAAAAACGGGAATTTTTACGCAAAATCGGTTTTCCAAAAAATCGATTTTGGTTTTTGGTGTAACTCTAAAAGAAATGAACGTATATACATGAAATTTTCACTGGTTGTTTATATTTGCATTTTATATACACGATAACATTTTCAAAATATTTTGATTTATTTTGAACTGTAATGGGACATTTTCATTTTCCATTTTTTTTGAGTTTTTTTTCTAAAAATATCAATAAAATTTTATTTGTTGGTTAAAAAAGCTTGAAAATATAAAAGAAGGCTCCTAGTATATTATATCAAAGGCAGATGAAAAATATTAAAAATCCTTAGTCACTGTTTCTTTTAATAAGCATTTAAAGTTCAAAAATTGACAAAATATGGAAAAATCACAAAAATTAGCAAATTATTTTGAGTTAAGAAATTCGTAAAAATTTTTCTTTTTAAATCTTATGTTTGAAAATGTAATACAAGATTCCTTATAAAATTATCTACCTTTATCAAAAAAAAATGTGTAGGTATAAGAAAGTCAAATTAAATTTTTATGAGCGTTTGAAATTCAAATTCACTCGATTTCTCATGTAGCGATTTCCTTATTTTGTTGTAATTCAAAAACGAATAACTGTAGAAACATGAAAATTTCACTGAATGTTTAAATTAGCATTTCCTATACACCATACAATTTTGAAAATATTTTGACTCTTTTTGAGCTATTTACGGACATTTACCGCTTTCAATTTTTTATAGTTTTTTTTTCTATAAATATCAATTAAGTTTTATCTGTTGGGCCAAAATGTGTAAACATTTAATGCAAGGCTCCTGATATATTGTTACAATATCAGTTGAAAAATATTAAAAATACATAGGCACAGTTTTTTTTTATAAGCATTTAAAGATCGAATTTTGACAAAATTTATCAAAATCTCGAAAATTATCAATCATTATAATTAATAAATTATAAAATGTTCAGTTTTTATAGCTAAGGATTGCAAATTTAAAACAAAGGTTCTCATAATTAGTTCATACTGTAACCAAAAAATCAAAAAAATATATGAACACAGTTATTTTTTACAGACATTTTAAATTAAAGTTTGGATTTTGGACAAAATTACATATTAAAAAACCTAGAATAACTATTTTAGTTATTTTGTTGTGATTGAATAATATTATTCGTGGGTACTTGAAACTTCTAAAGTGTACTATTATATATCTATGATAGTATCACGGTTTTTGTTGATGTATAGCGCGTTATAAGTACCTAATGGATATTGTGATATGATTAATTTGGAATTTATTATAGATACCTATTATAGGTCAAATTTTGGTTTAGTACCATAGATATGTATATAATATGTCTTATACCTAGACTGACATACCTTCTCCGCTCAGAATCGTTTTTCTTATACAATGATATTATATCGTTGAATTCAAATTTAATATCATCCATTATACAGTGACCCACTTGTACCCTACTGTACAGCAGAGCGACACCCACTTGTCCACCTTTTTAATTATACTATTACTATTTTATGTATAATTAATTATTAAAGTATTATTTATAATAAATGTTTGATGACTTCCTATAACAAAAATTCAAAATTAGCATATAGAAAATTATATATAGTTTGTGGTGTGGGGGTGGGATGTAAGTGCTTGGGTCGTTACTCGTTACGATATTAATTTGCTTAGGGTTTGAAAGATGCTCGCCACGCCACTGTATACAATTAAATATATAATAATGAAAATGTAAATATAAGCTAACCTATTTAAAATTGAATTCCATAAGCAAATCATTATACAAACTTCAATAAATTGTACATAGCTTTAGCTTCAACTTTGCAAATAGGTTTTTCATCAGCATTTTGAATTATATACAGCAATGCATTTTTTATACGAAAGAAGAAATACATATACATAAGAAGCATATAAAGCATTGCAAGCATCTGCTCGTGCACTCCAACGTGTAACACTCAGATTTTTAACAACTTTACCCTTACCAATATTTTCTTCCAAAATCGACCAACGGTTTGTTGAACATGAAAAAAAATTAAATAATTTTTGAAGCAAATCAAAAAAATGTGTTGCATAAAGACAGCTTTCAGCTGCATACGTCCCAATTAGATTGAGTGAATGCCCAGAACATGGAATATACTTTGCTTTTGGATTTATATTCTTGATTCGAGGCTGAAGACCTGTATACTGTCCAGACATATTAGCCGCATTATCATAGCTTTGACCTTGGCAATATTCAATTGGTAATTCATATTCTGATAGTAAATTTAAAACAGTTTCAGCCATATCTTTAGACTTGTGTCCAACATTAGCAATGAATAATAAAAACCTTTCTACTGGTACCCCCCCAAAAAATAGCCCCCTCTGATGGCAACTTTTATCTAGCCCTAGGCACGTGCCTACCCTGCCTATACGTTAATCCGGCACTGGCGATGCAACATTGATTTCGAGTGTATTTTCCGTAAACGAAATTCCTTGTGGTCTTGTAGACGACTTTAAATTATAATATATAATATTATAGTATATTAATTATTCATTACGTAATCTAAAAATTATCTATATAAGATGTCAGATAATTCATTAAATTTAAATTTTTAATTTGTTAAATTCCGTCGAACTTTGAACTTTAAATGCTTCTAAAAAAATCTTATCTATATATTTGTAATATTTTGATACTAATATTGCATTTTTCGTGATTTTTGTAGATATTCAATTTTCAAGTTTTTTGACCAATCGAAATTTTATTTATCAGCATTAGTTAAAAAAGCGGTTAAGTGAATGATGCTCTGCTGTACAGTACTCAGTAGGTTACAATAGTGGGTCACTGTCAGGATGGTTTCAAATTTGAATCCAAGTAGTTACTAAAATACGAGCGTTTCATGAGTATACTCGTAAAAATGTGTTTTTGAAAATTTTAAATAGAAAAATTAATTTTTATTATTAATACACTTTCTATATAAGCAGCCGGCAGGAACAATACGAGTATGAGCACGTACGTTTCCCCAGCCCCCCCACCTCGTGTTTTCGCAATTTTTTTTTGCAAAACATTTAGTACTGAATTTGTACGAATTTGTACGATAAGAAACACAATTTGTATGAATTAATTTATGCAGTTAATCCAAAATTTGAGTGGGGGGGTTGTAGAAACGTTTCACCAGCCCCCCACCACACTAAAAATACTTTTTTTCACAAAACAACTATGCAAATATTTAGTTCGGAATTTGTACGAATTTGTACGACCGTCAAAAATATTTTTTGAAAATTCTTTCATCCCCAAAAACACATTTTACTCTTTTGCCGTTTCCCCAGCCCCCCCACCGCACTAAAAATACTTTTTTTCACAAAACAACTATGCAAATATTTAGTACGGAATTTGTACGAATTTGTACGACCATCCAAAATATTTTTTGAAAATTCTTTCATCCCCAAAAACACATTTTACTCTTTTGCCGTTTCCCCAGCCCCCCCACCAAACTAAAAATACTTTTTTTCACAAAACAACTATGCAAATATTTAGTACGGAATTTGTACGAATTTGTACGACCATCCAAAATATTTTTTGAAAATTCTTTCATCCCCAAAAACACATTTTACTCTTTTGCCGTTTCCCCAGCCCCCCCACCACACTAAAAATACTTTTTTTCACAAAACAACTATGCAAATATTTAGTACGGAATTTGTACGAATTTGTACGACCGTCAAAAATATTTTTTGAAAATTCTTTCATCCCCAAAAACACATTTTACTCTTTTGCCGTTTCCCCAGCCCCCCCACCACACTAAAAATACTTTTTTTCACAAAACAACTAT